GTGTGGCGCAGGGGCGGGACGGCGGCAGCGTCGAGGGGAGGCGGGGGGCCGGTCGGATTGGCGGCGGGCGACGGCCGGCGGCTTGGGAGGGAGGAAGCAGGAGGTTGGGGACGGGAAACTTCCCTCCCGCGCGACGGGAAAGGGAGTGCGGGCTGGGGTCGAGCGCCCCCCTCCAACCCTCACTTCTACGGTTTGAAATTAGGTTTGAGAGTTGGACCCTTACTTTTTTTTGAGGGTTTGAGGGTTTAGGAATTCTAGTCTTTGCTTTTTTTGTTGCAACCCATAAAAAACGGTTATTTTTGAGGATTTGAGGGTTTAGGGGCTACTAGTAATGCTCTTAGCGTGTGGCTGAGCCGGTCGGACCCGGCCGTAACCAAACCCTGAACCCTAGAGCCTGCTTTCCCCAAAAATCAAAGAGAGAGAAAAGAAGCTAGAGCCTGCCTGCTTGCCGTCGCGATGCCGCCGGCGGCCGGGGAGCTCGCCGGAGCTGGCGGGGGAGTGGAGGCGGAGAGGGTCTTCATTGGCGCCGGGTGCAACCGTGTTGTGAACAACGTCTCGTGGGGCGCCTGTGGTCTCGTCGCCTTCGGCGCCCAGAACGCCGTCGCCCTTTTCTCCCCTTCGGTCCGTCGATCTGGTCCTCCCACCCTTCTGTTTTTAGGTATCCTGCTGTTTTCTTTGCTTGATCCGATTGGTCTCGGTTCGTGTGTGTGCTGGAACAGAGAGGGGAGATCGTGACGACACTCCCAGGGCACAAGGCGGCGGTGAACTGCACGCTGTGGCTGCCGACCAAGAAGGATGTACTCCAAGGTCTGCTACCTCCTTTTTACACCTATTTTATGTCTCTTCTCTCTTAATTGTTAATTCTCTTCATATTGCATCTGAAAAACTGAAATGATTAGCTAGAGTAACCAGTCCGAAACAATACCATGTCTTGTACCGTTGCTGATGCACTGAGCTGCATTTTGAGGTAAAAATTAGAGTGTCAACCTGAAACAATTGTCTCAATGAATAATTGGTGGGACTTGAGAGGAGATAGTCGAGCAAAAGGTGTTTTTGACTGATCCTGTAACGAGTACTGAACCGTTGGCCGGTGGTTTGTTTCATTTGCCCCTCTGCAGTTCGAAGCAGGGAGACACACTATCTGTTGTCCGGAAGTTCTGATGGTGCTATTATGGCGTGGAAGATTGGTTCTGGAATAGGCAAGGTGAATTTCTTCTGTTTCACCATATACATGTTTGTTGTCGTTTGAATTCTGTTTGAAGCCTTTGCTGCAATTTCGTGGCATTAGATTTCTTCTTCTTCTCATTTGCTTGCTTGGAATATGTTTATCTGTTTATTTATCAAGTTGACCCAAGTTGATTGATTTTGCTGTTTGTCTGCTTTGCAGTGGTCTCATGTTTTGCAACTACCAGCCATGCATAAGAAAGGCGTGACCTGTCTTGCTGGAAGGATGGTGTCGGATAGGGTAACAATTTTCGCTTCCACCTCCTCAGATGGTATGGTGGTTATTTGGGAAATGGTGGTTGAGCCGACTGCTGGTGGTAAGATGATCGACTAGCATTTTGATACTTTTTACACGGATCCTAAGCTTAGTGATTATATCTTGAATAGTCGCATTGATCTTTAGCTTATCTCTAAAGCAAAATTTATAGTCCAATTTTTTTAACTTGTATGATCTTAAAGCTTTACAAATGCTTGCTGCCATCCCATTTAAGTTATTTGGTTTCACTTCTGCAGGCTCCTGCAAAGTGTCTTGTTTGCATTCTCTTTCCGTTGGTTTAAAACCAATGGTTTCACTTTCATTAGCGGTGTTGCCAGAACAGGAAGGCTGCCTAATTTTAGCAATGGGAGGATTAGATCATAAGGTCCACATATATTGTGGGGATCAGTCAGGCAAGGTTTGTAAGATTTCTTATTGCTTCCATTGCTATACCTGCTTGCATTTCCTGTACTGACCAGCATTTTATGATGTGCAGTTCATTAAAGCCTGTGAACTTAAGGGCCATTCTGACTGGATTAGAAGTTTAGACTTCTCTTTACCTGTGATGACGAGCAGTGAGAAACACGGCCTTTTTCTCGTTAGCTCGTCTCAGGACAAAACTATTAGGATATGGAAGATGACTTCAGATGTGCAACAAAGGAAGGATAATATTGGGATGGCCTCCTACATTGAAGGTCCTCTATTTGTGGCAGGTAATACAAGTTACCAGGTATCATTGGAGTCTCTTCTTGTTGGGCATGAAGATTGGGTATATTCAGTAGAGTGGCAGCCTCCTAGACTGCTACTTGGCGGTAAAGCTCATCAGCCAATGAGCATATTATCTGCATCAATGGACAAGATGATGATGATATGGAGGCCTGAAAAAAATACTGGCCTTTGGATAAATTCAGTGACAGTTGGTGAATTAAGTCACTCAGCACTTGGATTTTATGGTGGCCATTGGGAACCTGATGGTAAATCTATTCTTGCACATGGCTATGGTGGATTTTTTCATATGTGGAGAGATGTTGGACTGGATTCTGAAAATTGGCAGCCCCAGATTGTCCCTTCTGGTCATTTTGCACCCGTATCTGACTTAACATGGTCTAGATCTGGTGAATATTTGCTAACAGTTAGCCATGACCAGGTAGGTTCTTATACTTCAGCTTCAGCGCAGTCTTATGGAACATTTATCTTTGGTTATTATCATTTTTGCGTACTTACTTGCTAAGCCTGTTTTGCATCAATGTTTATTATGCAGACAGCACGCATATTTGCCCCTTGGAGAAGTCATGTTGACCCAGGAGATGTGATTTGTTGGCGCGAAATCGCTCGCCCCCAAATCCATGGGCATGACATTAACTGCGTGGCATTCATTCAGGGTACAGGAAACCACCGGTTTGTTTGTGGTGCTGATGAAAAGGTCTGTAGAGTCTTTGAAGCTACTTTATCATTCCTGAGGACCCTACAGGAAGCAACTTTGTTGAAACCTGACAATGAGGATTTTGACGATGTGCAAGTCCTTGGAGCAAATATGTCTGCTCTTGGGCTTTCACAGAAACCTATATATACACATGGTAAAAATCCCTCACGTATTGGGCATAGTGTCTTGTTAGCTTTTCATAACAAATTTTAGTAGCAATTTTTTTTTCAGTTATTCTTTTTCATTTGACTGATACTTTTTATTGATGGTTTTATGCAGGAAAGGAATCCCCAAGCAGCGCTTCTAATGATGGTCCAGATTCCATGGAGACGATTCCTGATGCAGTGCCAACTGTGTTTACTGAGCCTCCTGTGGAGGACCAGCTTGCATGGAATACCTTATGGCCTGAATCTCACAAACTTTATGGGCATGGAAATGAACTCTTTTCCATCTGCTGTGATCATGCAGGGAAGCTCGTTGCATCATCGTGCAAGGTATTACTGCATGCTTTCTTGTTGTGACTGAAAATTTTTGTATGATACCTGGTATCAGTTGCGTTCAGCCAGACATCATCATCACCATGATCATTTACCTCACCTGGCCACAGTTATGTTACTTGATTGTTCTTGTTTAGAGCATGTACGGTTCAGCTAAGTGCTCAAATGTGAATCTGCAAACAGATGTTTTTTTTTCCATTTTCATAGAAACTTGAATGGATACTAGTATTGCTGGGGCTTTATTTATTTCTGGGAACCACTTAAATGTTTTGCCACTGCCGCAAATAGTTTTGTATCTATGCATCCTCATGTGGCAAGAATGCATATTACAGTACTATTTGTCTCCATATGACTACTGGTGGTAGTTGATGTACTCCCTCCGGTCCTTTTTACTCTGCATATTAGAATTCTCTGGAGTCAAACTTCACAAAGTTTGACCGTGTTTATATGAAAAAATATCAACATCTGCCATGCTAAAGTTATATAATATGAAACTTTAAATCATGACACATCTAGTGATATTGATTTCATATTATGAATGTTGACACTGTTTTCTACAAAGTTGGTCAAACTTTACGAGGCTTGACTTCAGTCAAATCTTATATGCGAACTAAAAAGGACCGGAGGGAGTAGAATGTCTATATTTACTAGGGAGTTCTGAATGATACTTGATTCTCTTGCAGGCTCAATCAGCACCAGTTGCTGAGATCTGGCTCTGGGAGGTTGGAACATGGAGAGCCGTTGGTCGCTTGCAGTCTCACAATCTGACAGTTACACAAATGGAATTTTCTTCTGACAATGCTTATCTTCTGAGTGTATCAAGGGATCGTCACTTGTCCGTCTTTTCGATTAAGAAAACTGGTGAGTGATTTTTATCTTTTAGTTTCATATACCTTTTTTGTTGTATTGGATCCAGTGCTCATGGTCTGCAATTGTTGGTGTCATCCCACTTACGTAACTCTTAGAGGAAGGAGCACAGCATCACCTGGTTACAAAGCATGAAGCACACAAAAGAATCATATGGGCATGCTCGTGGAACCCATTTGGGTACGAATTTGCAACTGGTTCAAGGGACAAAACTGTCAAGATATGGTGTGTTCAAGATGCATCTTCTGTCAAGCTGCTCGCCACATTGCCTCAGTTCCGTGAGAGTGTCACAGCATTGGCCTGGACGGGCCGTGACCGTGCTCGTAATGCCGGCATTATTGCTGTTGGCATGGACAATGGGCTGATCGAGCTCTGGAGTGTTTCAGGGGGGAGAGCTGCTTCAGAAAGTAGCTCAGATCCGTCCCCCCTCAGCGTTGCATGCATGCTCCGGTTTGATCCTCTGTTGTGTCATGTGTCAACGGTGCAGCGTTTGCGGTGGCAGAAACCCGACTCGGCTGATGAGAAAGCAGCAATTGAGTTGGCTTCTTGTGGATCTGATCACTGCGTCAGGGTGTTTGCAGTCCGTGATACTTGAGGTATTTATGCAACATCGTGACTCTGAAATTTTGAGCAGATGCATCTATTTTGTTATCATGACATAGGCATATAAGTCTAGATTTAGCGGACTAAAATCCTGGCAGTTCTTGGTGCCCTTGGCAATCCTCCCTGATGTTGTAAAACTTTTATCGTTCTGTTTGTGAGATAATATTGCTGTATTGCAATGATGTACACCTTAGTTGACTGGTGAATGCAGTGCGTTGGGATTTTCAATCCAATTTGTTAAGCTCTAAGACTGGTACATTGTTGAATACCATGTGCACAACTTTTGCTCATGTATCATCTATTCTGCAACTGCTTTATATTTTCCAACTGTATGTGGAAAGTTACATACAGCCATTCCAGCTGTTTTATGGGAAGCTTTCAGGTTCCAGCAGCAATGCAGCAACTGAGTGAACAAGAAATGTGAAGGCCACAATCTCAAACAGCACTAGTTCTCTAGGAGTAGGGTGCATGAAGTGGATCAGGCAATTTTGTAGATCAAATCGACAAAATCAGACTTTGGATCCGACACTGGAACTGTATATGAAACTTAGTGAATCAGGCAATTTTAGTGATGGAATCAACAAATAGTCAGTATCAGATTTCTGAAGCTCTGGACTCCTGACAGCATCTAACAGAAAAGAATGGTTTTGCTTCACTAGTACTCCTTCGGTTTCTAAATAATTGAACTTCTAGTGTTTTTCAAAGTCAAACTTCTTTATGTTTGACCAAGTTTATAGAACTTTAATCATTTTGGAACAGAGGGTGTACTGATTATTTCAACATTGACAGGAGCAAAGCTGCAAAGGAACATAAACTTCCATGCTTTATTGTCCCCTAGTATGTCAAAGGCGGAAAAAAAAGATCACACTACATAATAGGCCATCTAATAGGAAAAAGTAGCTTTGCTTCACTAGTACTTTACTGTACATACCATTACATAGTTTGAATGCACGAGAAGTTTCAACATAGAAAACAGATAGAATACTTGTAAAAGAGGGCATACGCAAACAACCCCAAAACAGCAATCTGGACATCATAGACTTCACCCATGGCACAATTAGTGAAGGCTGCTACACGCATGCTGGTAGCTAGCAACTAACATGTACTACTAGGAAAGGTCTCACGATGCCCATAGGCGACGATCTTGTACACTTCAAACAAACGGGGAAGACTTTGCATCTGGTGCATGCTAAGGTTGTGCTTTCCTTTCCTCTCTCAAGCAAGAAACAAAGTAATCCTAATCTTGCCTTGCAAGGCAAAGATATGATGAATCCCAATTGGTTACCAACTCCAACAGTTAATGTGTTTAATGCCGTCAAATCACACGGAAGAAGCAAGATTTTCCGTGTCTTGAAACTCTTGATCAAAGATGTTACCCAAACAGCTGTTCTTGGGTTACAGACCTGAAGAAACTTGGCATAGTTTAGCCCTGAAGGCAAAGCAAGTCAGGGCTTACGGGGTGGGGCACTGGCCAGCCAGATATTACTACTAAAGAGCTTTGTTTCATGGAGACTGCAGGAATGATGAAACCTTCTAAATGGGAAGCAAGCAAGCAGAGGAGATCAAGAATCTCCTTCTCAAGATAATAATTCCCTTGGCTTTTCCCCTGGCAGGTTCTTTTATCTGCGGCCTCATAGCAGATAGAGCAATCAGGCACAGTGACCTAGACTCATCTGATAACTCAATCCAGTTGGATCAATCATCGTCAGACGGTTTGAGATTGATTCAAGGAGAGGAGGGAGGAGGAGAAATGGAGTCCCCGAACCGGGCGCCGCGGAAGCTGGTGCAAGCGGAGACCCCCTACAGCACCGGCAGGGTCGTCGGCGGTGGACATGCGAAGCAGGCTTCTCTCACTGAAGAAATCATGGTGGCGCAGGACACCGAGAGCTCATCGGAAGTTTCAGTCAACAACCAGAGGCTCCAGGACGTTCAGGGGACGCCCGCCGGCGCCGAAGAGGTCGGGAGCCTGAAGCGCGTGGTGTCGGCCCTCGAAGAGCGGGCCGCCGGCATCGAGAAGCGGTTCCAGGACTACTGTGACGCGAAGGAGCAGGAGGCGACGTACCAGAAGATGCAGATCATGTGCCTGGGGATGAAGCTGGAGCTGCTAGAGTCCCAGAACCAGCGGCTTGAGGCGGCCGCCACGGAGATCCGGGCCGCCGCCGAAGAGTTCGCCGTGATGCGGGCGGGCCTCGACGCGCTGCAGAGCAAGTTCAGGAAGGTCGCCAAGAAGAGCAGGCAAGAGTTCGACGCCATTGATGGGAGGATCCTGGCCTTGGATGCCCGGGAGGCAGAGATGGCGGCGAGGTGCCGAGGCTTTGAGCAGCTCATGGCGGAGATGAAGGAGCTGGTTTCGCAGCTGCAGAAGGGGAAAGGAACAGACAGTGAGGTACGTATCTTCTTCTTCGCTTCGTCGACATTTTTACTTCCATTTCCGTCTGATCAAAGGTTTTTCTTGTGTGTTGTGCATGGCGTAGAGCGTGGAGGTCGCCGTGGAGAGGAGCATGCGGAAGCTGTCGAGCAGCAAGGACCTGCTGGACGGGATGGGGGTGCTCCGGGACCGGTGGGCGGCGGACATGGAGGAGCTCATCTACCTCGGCTGGATCACGGCGTGGCTGCAGCACGACCTCCTGGTCAGCGACGGCGAGGGCGGCGCCGCCAAGGGCCCGGCGGCGATTGGGGACGACGACGACGATGGCACCCACCCGACGGCGGAGGAGCAGCGCAAGAAGGGGGAGAAGATGGTGGCGGTGGCCGCGCCGATCAACGAGGTGGAGCTCCGCAAGACGTCGTCCAACGCGTCGTCGTGCGCCGCGGGAGAGGAGTCGTGCATGGGGCTGGCGGGCTGCAGGACGGGAATCGGACGCCCGAGATTGCTCCGCAAGATCAGAGGGTGGGCCAAGGGAAAGGGTCCAAGCAAGAGCAGTGAGTGATGAATAATTCATTGGTGCTGATTAATTTGCTTGTGATCACTCGTGAGAATAATGTATGTTTGAGTCAAATTGCGTTGTTGAAAGATAATAAATATGGTGCATATGATGTGTTTTTTTACCCAGTTCAATCACAGATGCTGACATACAGTGGCGAATTCAGAAAGAAAAAGAAGGGTGGGCTCAAAGTTAACAGCGAGAAAACTAATGTCATTTTGAAGAGAAAAAAAGCATTTCATCAAAAAAGAAAAGAAAAAGGCATTAGCTCCTAATCCTATTGTCCAAATTAGCTAATATTTTGCTAGAGTACTACTAAAACATATGTATTAGTATTGTCATTCTCTGGTTATTTTTAATGAAATTTCTTGAACGAAAGTTCAAATCTATCTACCTAAATAGTCATTATCTCCTAGTCGTTTTGCTCCAAACAAGGTAAAACTTTCCTAGATTACTACTGGAAACATGAAGTATTTGCTAGTTTTTTCAACAGAAGTATATCAAAATTTTAACCAAAATTTGAATTTATTTAGCAAAATATAGTCAATATCTCTTAATCCTTTTTCTTCAAATAAGCTCTAAATTTGCCACATTGCTACTATATATTTGGTGTTGTGTTGTTACCTGTGGGCTGTTGGTATTGTATGGCTGAGAATGAGAGATTGGGTTGCTGGGCTAGGAGCCTAGGACATGTAGTAGTAATAAAAATGTATATTTGAATGGTAGGCTAAAGCCTGTTGAAGCCCCCCTACTGGACTCGCCAATGACCGCACACCCACACTCTACATCTATGAGCATCTCCGAGATACTGAGCTAACACAACATCTTAAGATTCTTCTATTGAACGAACATTGGCAGAAGGGTTAAAATAAATCTAGGAAATGTGTGCACTAGTGCCAGTGTAGGACCTAAACTCTGGTGGGTTTCACCGCACGAAACCTAACCATCCGAGCTACAGTTTGCATACGATGTTGGATACCATGACTAGTGCTACCTCTTGAGCACTGCGTTGAATTTCCCCGAAAAGGAGAGGATGATGCAGCAAAGTAGCGTAAGTATTTCCCTCAGTTTTTTGAGAACCAAGGTATCAATCCAGTAGGAGGCTACGCGCGAGTCCCTCGTACCTACACAAAAACAATAGCTCAACGCAACCAACGCGCTTAGGGGTTGTCAATTCCTTCACGGTCACTTACGAAAGTGAGATCTGATAGAGATGATAAATAATATTTTTAGTATTTTTGGTATAGAGATGCAAAGTAAAAAGTAAAAGCAAAGTAAAAGCAAAGCAATAATAAAGTGATGGAGATTGATATGATGAGAAAGAGACCCGGGGGCCATAGGTTTCGCTAGTGGCTTCTCTCAAGAGCATAAGTATTCTACGGTGGGTGAAAAAATTACTGTTGAGCAAGTGACAGAATTGAGCATAGTTATGAGAATATCTAGGTATGATCATGTATATGGGCATCACGTCCGAGACAAGTAGACCGACTCCTGCCTGCATCTACTACTATTACTCCACTCATCGACCGCTATCCAGCATGCATCTAGAGTATTAAGTTAAAAACAGAGTAACGCCTTAAGCAAGATGACATGATGTAGAGGGATAGTTTCATACAATATGATAAAAAACCCATCTTGTTATCCTCGATGGTAACGGTACAATACGTGCCTTGCTGTCCCTTCTATCACTGGGAAAGGACACCGCAAGATCGAACCCAAAGCTAAGCACTTCTCCCATGGCAAGAACAACCAATCTAGTAGGCCAAACCAAACTGATAATTCGAAGAGACTTGCAAAGATAACCAATCATACATAAAAGAATTCAGAGAAAATTCAAATATTATTCATAAATAGACTTGATCATAAACCCATAATCCATCGGTCTCAACAAACACACCGCAAAAAGAAGATTACATCGAATAGATCTCCACAAGAGAGGGGGAGAACATTGTACTGAGATCCAAAAAGAGAGAAGAAGCTATCTAGCTACTAACTATGGATCCGTAGGTCTGAAGTAAACTACTCACACTTCATCGGAGAGGCTTGGATGATGATGTAGAAGCCCTCCATGATTGATGCCCCCTCCGGCGGAGCTCCGGAATAGGCCCCAAGATGGGATCTCGTGGATACAGAAAGTTGCGGCGGTGGAATTAGGTTTTTGGCTCCGTATCTAATTGTTTGGGGGTACATGGATATATATAGGAGGAAGAAGTACGTCGGTGGAGCTTCGAGGGGCCCACGAGGCAGGGGGCGCGCCCTAGGAAGGGCGCCCTCCACCCTCGTGACCGCCTCGTGGCTTTCTTGACGGAGGGTCCAAGTCTCCTGGATCTTATCTGATGAGAAAATCACGTTTCCGAAGGTTTCATTCCGTTTGGACTCCGTTTGACATTCCTTTTCTTCGAAACCCTAAACAGGCAAAAAACAGCAATTCTGGGCTGGGCCTCCGGTTAATAGGTTAGTCCCAAAAATAATATAAAAGTGGATAATAAAGCTCAATAATTTCCAAAACAGTAGATAATATAGCATGGAGCAATAAAAAATTATAGATACGTTGGAGACTATCAAGCATCCCCAAGCTTAATTCCTGCTCGTCCTCGAGTAAGTAAATGATAAAAATAGAATTTTTTATGCGCAGTGCTACTTGGCATAATTTCAATGTAAATCTTCTTAATTGTGGTATGAATATTCAGATTCAAAAGATTCAAGACAAAAGTTCATATTGACATAAAAATAATAATACTTCAAGCAGAATAACAAAGCAATTATGTCTTCTCAAAATAACATGGCCAAAGAAAGCTATCCCTACAAAATCATATAGTCTGGCTATGCTCTATCTTCACCACACAAAGTATTTAAATCATGCACAACCCCGATGACAAGCCAAGCAATTGTTTCATACTTTTGACATTTTCAAAACTTTTTCGATCTTCACGCAATACATGAGCGTGAGCCATGGATATAGCACTATATGTGGAATAGAATAGTGGTTGTGGAGAAGACAAAAAGAGGGGAATCTAGTCTAACATCAACTAGGCGTATCAACGGGCTATGAAGATTCCCATCAATAGATATCAATGTGAGTGAGTAAGGATTGCCATGCAACGGATGCACTAGAGCTATAAGTATATGAAAGCTCAAAAGAAACTAAGTGGGTGTGCATCCAACTCGCTTGCTCACGAAGACCTAGGGTATTTTGAGGAAGCCCATCATTGGAATATACAAGCCAAGTTCTATAATGAAAAATTCCCACTAGTATATGAAAGTGACATAATGAGAGACTCTTTATCATGAAGATCATGGTGCTACTTTGAAGCACAAGTGTGGTAAAAGGATAGTAATATTGTCCCGTCTCTCTTTTTCTCTCTTTTTTTTGTTTGGGCCTTCTCTTTTTTTATGGCCTCTTTTTTTTCGTCCAGAGTCTCATCCCGACTTGTGGGGGAATCATAGTCTCCATCATCCTTTCCTCACTTGGGACAATGCTCTAAAAATGATGATCATCACACTTTTATTTTTCTTACAACTCAACAATTACAACTCGATACTTAGAACAAAATATGACTCTATATGAATACCTCCGGCGGTGTACCGGGATATGCAATGAATCAAGAGTGACATGTATGAAAGATTTATGAACGGTGGCTTTGCCACAAATACGATGTCAACTACATGATCATGCTAGCAATATGACAATGATGGAGCGTGTCATAATGAACGGAACAGTGGAAAGTTGCATGGCAATATATCTCGGAATGGCTATGGAAATGCCATGATAGGTAGGTATGGTGGCTGTTTTGAGGAAGGTATTTGGTGGGTGTATGATATCGGCGAAAAGTGTGCGGTATTATAGAGGCTAGCAATGGTGGAAGGAAGGAAAGTGTGTATAATCCATGGACTCAACATTAGTCATAAAGAACTCATATACTTATTACAAAAATCTAGAAGTTATCAAAGCAAATTATTACGCGCATGCTCCTAGGGGGATAGATTGGTAGGAAAAGACCATCACTCGTCCCCGACCGTCACTCATAAGGAAGACAATCAATAAATAAATCATGTTCCGACTTCATCACATAACGGTTCACCATACGTGCATGCTACGGGAATCACAAACTTTAACACAAGCATTTCTCAAATTCACAACTACTCAACTAGCATGACTCTAATATCACCATCCTCATATCTCAAAACAATTATCAAGCATCAATTTTTTCTTAGTATTCAACGCACTCAAAAGAAAGCTTTACAAATCTTGAATACCAAGCATATTTATTATTAAGCAAATTACCATGCTATTAAGACTCTCAAAATAATCTAAGTGAAGCATGAGAGATCAGTAGTTTTTATAAAACAAATCCACCCTCGTGCTCTAAAAGATATAAGTGAAGCACTAGAGCAAAATTATATAACTCAAAAGATATAAGTGAAGCACATAGAGTATTCTATCAAATTCAAAATTATATATGGCTCTCTCAAAAGGTGTGTGCAGCAAGGATGACTGTGGTAAACTAATAAGCAAATACTCAAATCATAAAATACGCTCCAAGCAAAACACATATCATGTGGTGAATAAAAATGTAGCTCCAAGTAAAGTTACCGATAGAAGTAGACGAAAAAGGGGATGCCTTCCAGGGCATCCCCAAGCTTTGGCTTTTAGGCGTCCTTAGATTATATTGGGGGTGCCATAGGCATCCCCAAGCTTAGGCTCTTTCCACTCCTTGTTCCATAATCCATCAAATCTTTACCCAAAACTTGAAAACTTCACAACACAAAATTTAAAGTAGAAAATTTTGTGAGCTCCGTTAGCGAAAGAAAACAAAAGACCACTTCAAGGTACTGTAATGAACTCATTCTTTATTTATATTGGTGTTATACCTACTGTATTCCAACTTCTCTATGAATTATAAACTATTTTACTAGCCATAGATTCATCAAAATAAGCAAACAACACACGAAAAACAGAATCTGTTAAAAACATAACAGTCTGTAGTAATCTGTAGCTAGCGCAA